TTAATTATAACTTTAAAGAATTATTTCAAAACATGAAAGCCTTTGTTCTTTTCCTTTAATCTTCCTTGTAGGACTATAAAACTTCTCAAAATAAACTAACTAATTTGACATTTAATGCCATCGACCATTCTTTTCTTGTGTAGTTAGGATGGATAAGAAATTTTTGTAGAAAAATGATTTTAGAACATTAATAAAATCTTGCTATATTTAAAAATTATGTTGCAGTACATTAAAAATTCCTGTAGAATTAGAAAATTTTCAAAACAAGATGTCATAACCTTGTAGAAAAATAATCATTGTCAAATAAAAAGTCCATAAATAAAAATAAATAAAAAAATTTATATAGTTTTTTTGACCTATATCTCAAGGCTTTCTTAAACCCCATCTGACTTACAATTTTACTCCAACATAGAAATATGTTGGGAAATTCTAGGTAAATGTTTAGTCCAGTCAATAGTCCAATTAAAAATTATAATTATTGCCATAAAAATAGATAGTAGATATAATTACTCTAGAATCTGTATTTTCTTAATCAATTCTTTTTTAAATCATGTCACTAAATCTCCTATAGGATTTCATAACTTTGATGTTGATGTGTTAAAAAATAATCAATATAAAAATAAAATTATTTATAAATTTGTTATTATATTTTATTTAATGAATAACTAATTCTTATATTAAATATTACAACTTTATCATTAAATTAAAAAAAAAAAACTCTGGCAACCATCGTCACCCGTTTTCTGGTCACCTAAACCTATCAATTGTGAGACTTGTTCAATAATTGTATTCTGATGTTTGCAGCTTTTGGCTAAACTCTAATAGCCTAAAGCACATTAAATTACCAAATTGAATTCTTTTTTCATGAGGGCACCAAAATAAATGATATTTTTCGGTAAAGAATCCTTCATCACTCATTCTTTTTCGCAGCAAAATCCAAATCCTCTCCATGGACACTTTACCATTCCCGACATGGACGAGGGTAAAATGATTTCTTCAATGCATTAATTGAAGTGCACAAAGTGCTTTTTCAAAACCCAATTGATGCATACCTTTTTCCTATCTCTTATGGGTAGAAAGTGACAAGTTTCAGTCCAAGAGTAGAAAATGCTTGATGCAATTTTTTTTATGTCTTGTTGTCTCGCTCCTTTTCACTCAATGCTTGAGCCAAAAGAGTGGAAGTGTAGAAGTGAAGTGGCTACGTGTTGGCTATTCAAAAGTCACAGTGTGTTTGCTATTTTCATTCAATGCTTGAACAAATGAGAGATTTTGTACAAAGGCTCATGTATCAAAAACCCATCAATTTAAACCATAAATAAATTAAAAAAATAAATCTATAACATTACATGGAATCACCCAAAGCCTAAAACTTAAAAACTTCTATTTTGTTTATTTTTTAGAAAATATGCAAAAAAAATCTTTAGAATTTGATCACGTACACGAAAACAAAATATATATATATATATATATATATGTATGTATATATATATATGTATGCATTTGAAATGAGAATATTATTTTCTAATATTTTGAAATCACAGAGAAAACTAGGCATTTTTAATATCGAGTCCGTATCTTATAGTGTAAGTCTATAACCCAATATGAAATGAAATTTTTGAAAAAAATATATTTTTCATATTTTATCAAATAAATGAATTGTTTTATTTTTTTTCAAAAATCAGGTATTTTTAATATTGAATCCATATCTTACAATGTAAGTTTGTAGTATAATATTAGGTAAAAATTACTGATAAAAGATACGAGAACCCTTAAATAATTTCAAAATAGTCCCTGAATGTTTTTAAAAGTTTTTGAAATTTTTAAAGGTCTATTTGGCTAGACACATAAATAAAAAAAAATTAAAATTAAAGGAAAAAGACTTGGGGGGTTTTTACCAAACACGTCCTTAGTTTAAAGTCAGAGGCATTACAAATGTTTAAAGGCGTGTTTGCCTAAAAACTTAACAAGATTTTATTTTCTTAGTAAAATTGACATGAGCCAAACAAGCGTTTAGCTTTTGAGTTAGGCCTAGCTCAACTACATGAGTCAAGTTTGTTGGGCCCAACACCTAATATCATGAACATATGTTAGGCTCAAGCCTAGTCCAAACTAATTTTTTGGACTGACAAACAATCCTATAAACTTTTTGTTTTCTTTTTTACAGCTAGACCTAATCTAACCATATGGGTTGGGCTGGAATGAGGTCTTACCCATGCTTTTTTCTTTCTTTGATATGTCATCTCTTGTTCAAGCTATAATTTCATGTATGGGAGAGATGGTTTTCTCAACAAAATTATGACATAAACATTAAAGACAAATAAGAGAAGGATGCTAGTTAACCTTAGGGAGGATGTTGGGTTGTTATTGGTGGCATCGTCAGTGCTAGTGGTGGTTTATAGTGGTCGTTGAAAAAAAAGAAAGGTGGCTAGGTGGGCATATGAAAAAACAATGTTTTTTTACCTCTTTTCTCTCCTAATTTTCTCCTTTCCCATTGCATGAAATTCACCCATAGGGTGTTTTTTTGGCATGAATCTTGAAGATTGATTCAAAAAGAAAGGATCCTAATCACTGGCTAAAAGTCACCATCACAGACTGTAAAACTGAGTTGTAAAGGTTGGTTGGGTTAGTGACTTTAGGTTAGCTTTTTAGTGGTCTGTGGGTGACAAAATAATGGAAAATGGGTTAAAGGTGTAGTATAATGTGAGATCACTAAGGTAGTGTGTGTTTTCGTCTTGTCTGGGGAGAAAAAAGACATTAAATGACCCTGAAAATTGGCTTCATGAGCAGTTGTTTACGAGTCCTTTGAAGAAGATGACGAATATTATCAAATGACATGTTGTCAGACACTATTTATTTTTTGATTTTTATTGACCAAAAGGACATAATTTTAATAAAAAACTTGTTGTTTTGGTCAAAACAACATAAAAATGCACTGTCTCATTTAAATAAAATGATGTCGTTTTAGTGTTTTGAGTTAATTTAGGTTTTAAACTTTCTCTTTTAATTTCAACCCTTAATCTTTCAAGTTGTTCAATTATGCCCTCAATTGAATTTTAATTTTAAGAATCAATTTAATTTCACCCCTATCAAGTTTAAAACCCCCCTTGATTTTAACGAGTTTTTCAACTTGGTCCTAAGTTTTTTATATTTTTAATTTCATCCCTAATGGACTTTCAAACTTCTAATTTCTTTAATTTCACTCATATTTTCAATTGAATTATGTCCTTAAATTAGCACACCTTTTGAAAAAAGATCCTTGTTTTGAATTTCTTCAATTTGGTACTTAATTGATCCTCAAACTCTGATTTTCTTGAAATTTTATCCCTGATATCACCCAATTAAGTTTGAAAAAATTAAATGTAGTCCTCTAGATAGAAATCGTTCCTAGTTAAGTCCAAATCAAGCTTTAAAACTTAATTTTCACCAATCAAATCCCCAATAAAATTAATTTAACCCACTAAAAGTCCAATTAAGTCCTTGCAATTAAATAATTCATTTAATTAAACCTTTAAATCAATTCTTAAATTTAATTAAACCTTTAATTTGATTCATCCATAAATCTCAAACCCTTCTCGAACTTTTTTTGCCAAGTTTTTTTTGCCAAGTTGCTTGCTTTTATTTTTTTATTTTTTTTGTTTTTAAAAGAAAAGGACAATTTTTGGGAAAACCCAAATTTATTCTATTTTTTGCCCACTTAGCGAATTAAGGATGATGGACTTTATTTCCTCGGATCCTATATGAGTTTTGAACAATAAGCTAAAATTATTAGAAAGCCGTGTTTAAGCCATGGTTTTTTTTTTTTTTGGGGGTTGGTTTTGCTATTAATATTGTTATTATTTTGTTAGTTTGCCGATGAATTCTTGTTATTTTGGTCTCCAATGGCTCAAAGTGGGCATTGCTGGTTCTTCGGAGGTGATTTCTTTGGTGCTTGTCACTGGTTTATGTTATTTTAGGTGCTGATTTGGTTCTAGTAGAGAACAATGCAGGCTTTCAAATTAAAATTACATTTTATAGTTATAGCTTTTGTTCATTGCTTTAGATTTAAATGCATGTTTTTCTATAAATGTATTTATGGAGTCAAGATACCAAGTGATATCAACTAGTCTTTTCAAGATCCTTTTTTGGCTGTGAATCAATACATGTGCTGCTTTCTGCTTAGAGTTCTTGCCTTTAGCCTGGCATTATATTTTTCCTAAATAAGGTACCTTGAAATCTTTAGCTTCTAATATAACAAGAGAGCTGCTTGTCTACATATAGTGCCAAAAAATGTTACAATATTTTCTTACAACTCTTGTTGTTTGTCATTGCTAATTAATCTTTGTTTCGTGCATGTTTTGATTATTTAAGATTATTTAAGATGTATTTAGAAATGTAGTTATGATTGTTTTTTAAAATATTTTTATTTAAAAATATATTAAGGTAATTTTTTAAATTATTTTTTATATTAATATATCAAAATGATCTAAAAATACTAAAAAATATTAATTTAAAATAAAAAAATAATTTTTTTAAATATTTACATAAAAACAAACAAGATTTCAGTGATATCATAGAATAATTTACATATGTTTCCTACTAGTCTTGTCAAGTTTTCTTCTTGTTTGGTAACTGGGATACGATCTGTGTCTTTAATTCAAGGTTGATGCTCTAGTTTCTTATTAGCTTTTGATGTATAATGGCATGAAATAAAGAGTAAGACATGAGTGTTTCTCGTACGAGGAAGTTTACTTCACTGCGTAACTATTCTCTATTAGCATATGGTTAATTAATTTGAATGTGTGCTTGCAAGCACGGATGAATCTTGCGAGGGATGAACACGATAATCTGATTGAATCACATTCAACTATTTTTTATATGATTTAATTTATAATTCAGATTAAGTAAGAAGTTGAGTTAAAATAATTTTAAATTATTATTATTATGATTATTATTATTATTCAACCATAGTCTTTTAATTCTAAGCAAAACATTCACCACCTCGTGGGGGGATCCTGAAAAAAGGACCCAAAAGAAATACTGCTAAAACTATACTATCGAAGTACACTTTATCCTTCGCTTCATTTCTCGTTCTTCTTCCTTTCTTTTCAAAGATTGCAACACATCACCACTCCAAAAAGTCGAATGACATGTCGTCTAAGCGAAGTCACACGACGGAGCTCGGCTGCATAGCCAGCGAGGAGCTAACCGACCTCGGTGCAGGCAAGGAAGGATGGCTCGTTGAAAACCCGAACCTTCTATGCGCTCTAGACACTCACTCTCTCGCTCTTGCAAATCGGTCTTTAATTTTGATCACCGGGTGGGACGATGGGCCCCGTATCAAGATCCGACCCGAGTTGTCCCCAATCGAATCGGAAATCATTTCCGCTCTAGAATGGCTAGTGTTTGACGAGATTAAAGTGATCGCAGTTGGCACTTCACGTGGGTATTTCATGGTTTATTCATTGGATGGTCTTTTAATACATAGACAGGTCTGTCCAAATAGTTAATCCATCTTCTCTCTTAAATTCTGTTTGATCGTTTTGATGATATATTTATTTAATTTTAACAGTTGGTGTATCCTGGGCGTATATTGAAATTAAGAGTCCGTGGAACTAAGAAAGATATGATGAGTAGTCATGAGGGGTCCAGTGAGGAGGTTTCGGTTGTTATTCCAGGCGTCATTGCGCGTTTCGATGGCGTTGAGATTCGGGTATTAGTGTTGGCATTGCTTTTATTTTGATCTTGTTAATTTTGCAATTAGTGAGGTATGAAGGTGGTGGTGTTTTATTTTTTTGGTAAATTTTGTATTGTTTCTAATGTAGAATATATTGCAAGAGTGGTTTCAAGAAACGAATTCGCATTTCTGGGATGAAAAGTCCAAAAGGAGAGATTACGAGGAGCTAGGAAATGGTTTTAAGAGATTGCCTCATCAGTTGTGGAGTGTTGATAAATTTGGGTTGTGTGCTGATGCAGCTATCACTGGAATAATGCCTCCTCCGCTAATGGAAATTCAGGTGATCACATGGGTTTCTTATACTGATGAACTTATTGGTATTTTCTTGAGTAGCCATTCCCATTGGTTGAGTTTATGCCTTAGGCTTGGATCTAAGATCTCTTCTTTATTAGTGGCTTTGAATGTTGTGTTATGATCATGTGGGCTTCTAAGATTTGTTTATGGAACATATTGCTCTTCTTTTTTGGGTCTTGTGTACAGTTCTTCTTCCTTTTAGTTTAACATTACTTTGTAATGTTGCTGGTGATTTATCAATTACTTCTGGTATTTGAATTCAGCTGCTTTTATTGTTGGACAGTCAAGTCAACGTTACTATCGTGCAGTCACAATTGGAGAGGATGCTGTGATTTCAGCTTATAGGTTTGTGCTGTGTTTTGCACCTCACCGTCCTGTTGATTTGTTATTTCCAATTTTCAGATCGATTTTCTTTGCAATTGTATGATGATCAAATTTAATTTCTACCTGCTAAAGGCTTTCAGAAGACAGAAGCAGGTCTTTGGTGGGAGCTATTTTGTCAAAAGTTGTGCCCGCAGCATTCTCAACTATATCTTCTGTTTCTAAAATGATATGGCGGAGTGAACGAACGCCAACCAAAAAATCAGAAGTAAAGCCCCAATCATTTGCTAAAGGTAATGCAAGTTGATTCTGTTTTAGTTGCGTTTTAGCTTTGACATGATGTTCACTCAAGGTACTTCTTATAAGTAGAAAACATTTATACATTATATCTTTCAACATCCTGCTTTACCTTTTTTGTGTAATATTCTATGCTGAATCTGCAGCATGTGAGAGTAGCTCTAACTTTAAAGGAAGATGCTTTTCCCTTGATGCATTGTGATGTAGTGTCAAGTTCTTCTAACAAAGCATGTGTGATTAGATGAAAAAAGTTATTGTAATTCGTATCATGTTATTCGGTCACACTTCTCCACGTTCCAATGTGTATAAAATGCTAATGCGTTTCTTGCTTATAATCTTTTATTTCCTACAAAAAACTATTCTTCACTTTGTTTTGCTGATAGCACAACTGAATAAAGAAAGCAGGTCATTTTGACTGACCTCTTATTCTAGTTTGGGATCAAGGCTTAAGTGGATGGGAGTTAAATGAAATGTGGTCATGTAATTGTCAACTAGCATTTTTTTTTTTAAAAATAAAGAAAGACCATCTTAGCATGCTCTGATAAAAAAAATTCTTAAATGGCCTTCTGTTTTCTTTTTGATTTTTGATGAATTAAATTATTTGCTCCATAATTTTGTGACAGCTTCTCCCTTAACATGTTTGAAGGATCACCCAAGGAAAGGTGAGAAGCTCACATTATCACCTAGTGGAACATTGGCTGCAATTACAGATTCACTTGGTCGTATATTGTTATTGGACACTCAGGCACTGGTGGTTGTGCGACTATGGAAGGTTTACTCTCAGCATACACAAATTTCAATATATTAAAAGGGCAACATCTCTCCAGTCTAACACTGGACTTCGTTCTCTTCTCAGGGATATCGTGATGCTAACTGTCTGTTTATGGAGATGCTAGTTAGCATGAACAGTGCGGGGGCAAGTTCCTCTCACCACGAACCATCAAAGAGTGATTATTGCCTCTGTCTAGCAATTCATGCACCTCGGAAAGGGATCATTGAGGTATTCCTTTTTTCGTGTTTATCCTACTTGGTGGATGAGTGTAGGTTTCCTTAATTTTAGTACTTTAACCTTTTTTTTTTTTTTTTTCTCATCATAGTATAGTGTTCTTGATAAATTATAAATGTAAAAGGTTTTTTTTCTCTCTTCTTGGTGCTACATCTGGTAAATTGGCTTAAGCTATAACTAGAAAAAGCAATGTGATGGTTTATAGTCCTTGTTTCCTGACTGAGATATACAGACACAATTGTTAAATGACCAATGCGCATTTGCACTTTAAGGGATTGAAAAGAAGTGATCAGATGAAACATGGTTAGCTTGCTCATAAATTTGATAGAAAGGCTGGAAAACCGAATTGAAAGAGGTGACTAGGTTTGATTAAATTACAGATTTTTGGGTGCTGGAAAATCTCTTCCTGTTTGTTGGCAAGGTGGAAATGGGAGTACTAATTCCAATTCTCCCTCGTGAGATCATTTATATTGCCATGATAATTACCTGTCAAGTGTGCATTACATTTGAAATTCAGCTGATCAGTTGGCATCTGAGTCTTGCAGCTAATGGAGAGGACAATAGTCTTGTTCTCCTGTATTTGATATGGGAGACTGCTTGACCTTGCTATTGATTTTCTCAAAGAATTTCTTTATTGGCCTCTATGTTTGTTTAGTCAAGCAAATGCTTTTTATGGATCCATCTAACATAGCATGCAAGCTGTGACTAAATAAAATTTATCAGTAGATGGTTCCATTATCTACAACTTTGGATGATATTCTTCCATTCATCACTGCAAGGTCTGATTTGAACTGAAGAAATTCATCTTCCATGGATATGTGACCCCATATCAGGGTTTGGAGGTGTTGTTGCAGTGTGTATTATATGTTTAGAAGTCCAATGCTTCTAGTTTACTTGATTGTTCCTTCTGGCTGGAATATAGCCTTTCGCTTCCTAGATTATAATGTGTACAAAAACTACATTTTGCCTTGACATTATACTTGGTCTGGAAATTGCAAGTTACATGGTACTTGAGATATGGACTTGATTGAAGTTATTCTCATTGGCCAATCACTGTATGCAGGTCTGGCAGATGAGAACTGGACCACGTTTGCTAACGATTCAATGTGCTAAGGGTAGTAAATTACTGCAACCAACATACAGGTTTGGATCATCATTGGACTCTCCATATGTTCCTCTAGAAGTTTTCTTATTGAACGGAGACTCAGGTCAATTGTCAGTTTTAAACCGTTCTCTTAGCTGAATTGGTAAATCATTTTCTTTCTTCAGCATTGTACCCTTTTATTTGGTGTATGATAACCGAGATAATTTCTTCTGCATCCTTCTATTTTCTTCAGAATATATGTACATAACTAACTAATTAAAAGTTTTGCCAGAAGAAAAAAAAGTAGAAATGTCAGACCTCTGAGAAGAAATTTCTCCTGGCTAATGAATTTTTTTATGGCCCTGTAAGAAGCGTGTGAAAACAAGTCCGAGAGCAGGCAGGAAGCACCTAGTTTTTGTTAGGAAAACGATTGATAAAGAAACTTCATTAAAACTGTATACAAGCTATGTACAGATGATAAATGGCCATGGAAAGTTTTTTCTGTTCATTCTTTTTCTCGTATGGATAATAATGTTCTCTAATTACAATGCCAAATTCATGCATATAAAACTGTTACGCTCAATTTTTCATATACCGATTTTATATCTTGAGTCCTCGTGGATTAATTCGGAAAGCTCATGACAAAAATTTCAAATGTTACAAGGTATCATCACTCTATGTTTCTAGCGTTTTTGACTCTACAGTTTAAGAGAATAATTTCAATGTGGTATCTCACTGATGGCGCACACCTCTGCTGAAGAGGGCCTTCTTCGCCTTTCACCGAAGTTGTGCGGGCAAAAAGATTTATTCATCGATAATAAAAAGAAAACATGAATGGTGATTGGATTGATGTTAAAATTGAGTTCCCCTAGGTTTGCATATAACTACTTTTATCTTAGTAAAATGTGCTTTATGTGTGAGTGGTTCGGGAATGAATAGGAAGATCAAAAAGTTGGAAAAATAAATGATTTTTTTAGTTAGATGCATGGAATTAGCCAAGTATTCAGCACAAGTTTTCAATGGAAAATGATCTTGAAAACTATAAATACAATTACATTATAAGTACAATTACAAAGAATCACAAAAGAGAAGGGAAATGCACTATACATGAAGAGCCAATCTACTATGGATTGGAGTATTGTTTCTTCATCTCTTCTCTTGTGAGTTGGACTTGGTTGTTTTTGTGGCTTCTTGTGCTTGGGAGCTGACTGGTGTCATTGTTGAGCTTCGTTAATGGCTCCACTTTGATTTCTAGGTTCCAGTTCAATTTGTTGGTGGCTGGTGAGTGGTTTGGATTGGGTTTTCAGCTTCCCTTCTATTGGGTGCTATGGTGGGCCTATGTCTTTTGGGAATTGGTTCCATGCTGCCTTAAACACACCTCCTCACTTGATAGGGTCTTTGATCGATTCTTTGCATTGGGAGAGATACTGGCTTGTGAGTGGTACTTGACATGGAATTCGTTTGTGTAAGCTATGGCAGAAACCAAGAGGGGGTGAATTGGTTGATAAAAATAGAAATACACTCAAATTTCCAGATCTTGATAAACTTAAAGTATGTGTGTGTGTAGTCAATGCCCCAGTGATATGTTTTATCTGTGTTTCCAGTGCACCATGGATGGATATAACAAAATTAATTGACCTTGTGAAGAATAATTCAAGAACTTAAGAATAAATATAAAAAACCCATGATTTAAAAGAGAAAAGAAACAAAAGGTAAACATAAGAATTTTATATTGGTTCCCCACGAACTTAGGAATGACCCTGAGTGTGTCATTACTCATGTTTTGTTTCTAACCTTACAAACTTTCGTTCTTGAATATTTTTATAATCACTCAATGTAGACAATTGTTCAAGTTTCCAAGTAATAAAGTGCCACAACTAAAACAAAACCCCCTTCTATATTAATCATATAACTCACTTCTCTCTAGAAGGATTAACCACTCGATCAATAATCCATTGTTTTGTCTTTGTTTTCTCATTTAGTACTTTAGACAAACACTTGGTGTATTTTATATACACTAGTTTCTTCAACTAGCCATTAGCTCTTCTCTAGGATTCTTGTCTTGATGAAACCAATTTTTTCTTAATTTGATACATGCAACTTACTATTGAATTATTTTTGAAAAAATGATCTTTAGACAAGTTATTAGGTCCCCTCGTTTCTAGTGTTGACTTGAGACCTTTCTTTTTTGTTTTGAATTAATTTTTATTTTTCATAACTATTCCTTTCCATTGTAAGATTGATCACACAACTTTTTATTTCTTCCATTCTTCTTTTTTAATGACTGATATAAAATGAATGATCCATGAACTTGAATCTGTTAAATTTATGATATAATGTTAGCATATCTTAAATGGGTTTGAGTAAGAAAATTAAGCTTAATTTAAAGGTTTTATGAAAATGTTTGCTAATTGTTGTTGTGAATTTACAAACTTAAGTGAAATCTTATTTCTTTGGACCTGTTCTACAAACTTAAGTGAAATCTTATTTCTTTGAACCTGTTCTCTTATAAAATGATATCTTATCTCAATATTGAATCTAAGAATACTGCGTATGATTCTTTAAAATGTTAATGGCACTAGTATTATCATATTTAATTGAAATGTTGCTCATCTTAATATTAAAATCTAGTAGATGCTCCTTAATCCAGATAACTTATATGCAACAACTATCAACAACTATATATTTAGCTTCTACCATGAATAGAGCTACTGGGTGTTACTTTTCACTACTCTACAAAAGAAATTAACATGCTCTTGATGAACTTTGCTTGCCTATTGAACTTCCAGCAAAGTCGGAGTTTGTATTATCTTATCAATTCAAAGCTAGTAGATTTTGGATACCAAAAACCAAGTTTTATTATATTATTTAAGTATATAAAATCCTTTTAATAATAGTGAGATGAATGTCTTTGGAATTATACCAAAAAAACCTGCACACACACACTACACATTATATTTGGACTAGTTATTAAATACAACTAACACCTAATCACATCTCTATATAATTCTTGATTAACAACCTTATGTTTTTCATCTTTACTTAACTTTAAAGAACTTGGCATAGGCCTATGTTGGCATCTTGAGTTCTCAAAGTAAACTCTTATTCTTTCTTTTCATAGTTTAATTCGTTAAAAGAGTTCTCGAAGCTAAAAAAAATGATATATACCTTGTTGATCATAAAAAATGTAAACTCATTGTTTTCAAGCTCACCTCCTCTATAGTCTAACCTAATGCTTACAATAGATATATGCTTTTCATTTTAAATTTTCTTTAAGAGTGTGATATATATGGAATAATCATCTACCATTACTAATGCGTACCTTTTTCCTCCTAAACATAAACAACATGTGGGTCTAAACAAGTCACGATGCAATAATTTAAAGGTTTACATATAAACATAACATTATTCATTTTGAAATATAGTTTTATCTGTTTTTCATTTACACAAACATTATATATTTTATCTTTAACAAAAGATAATTCTAGAAAACATTCAACTATAATTCATTTACTTAATTTTGATATGACATTAATGCTTAAATGTCTTATTGTTATAGAAAAATGGTCATTGCAAAAAGCAAACAATCATGTTTCAGAACATAAATTAACATCATCAAGATCAATTATGTATACATTTATAAATTGAACACTATTATCTTTTATATATTAAACAAAACAATATAAAAATCTAAAAATTACCATGAACCCTTTGTCACATAAATTTCTAATACTTAGCATACTATATTTTAAACCTTGAACTTACAATACTTTTCTAATTAAAGATGATTTACCTTTATCAATTTTACCTATACCAGTTACCTATGTCACTAAAAGTTAGCGAACTAGTTTTTCCTTAAAGTAAGATGAACTTGTTCTTATATCTAGTCATATGTATGAAGCATTCACTCTCTAGGTACTAGGTATTTATCTTATTTCCAAGTTTTAAATAAACATGTAATTGCACATGTTCATTTACTTGATCTTGATGCCCAAATTCTTTTGAGTAGGTTAGGTATAATAGTAGGCATACTTCCTTTTACAACCCATACAACTTTGATTGGCCCAGGTAAACTATTATAATATATACGTCTTATAATAGGATAATTTTGTATATAATATCCATGTTGGTTATAAAAATGGCAAGTAATTTTGTGTGTGCCTATGCCCACACTTTTAATAAAGACATGTTTAGCTTGATATTTCTTATATGGATTATACCCCAATCTATTTTTTCAAGATTTTTTTAACATACAAGTAATTTTTTTATATTTTTTTAGTGAATTTGAATTTCTTTTCAAGATCTATTATTTTAATTGGAAATCAATATTCTATTTTAAGCTTGTCAAACTTATTTTCAAAGAAAATATATTTAGGAATCTATTTTAAATCCAATACGACTTTCTCTTTTTCACTTTATAAAACTGCAGTTGTTTCTCTTAAACTACCATTTTCACTTAAGATGGAATCATTTTAAGTTCTTAAGTCATTAATTTGCTTAACAAAATTTTCATTTTTTTTCCTTTGTTGTTGTTATTATTGTTGTTATTATTAGTATTACAATTTTTAGTTCTTGGTCGATATAAGCAACTATTTATTAAGCATGATAATTTTCTTCAAACATTTCTTAAATTCCTTTTGTAAACAAGCATATAAATTATATATTTAATCAATTATGTCATCCTCTTCTTCCAATCATCCTTAGCCACTAGATTTTTATTTCCATCTTCTTCAAAAGTCTTTTCCTCTTTGTTATCGTCGTCGTCGTCGTCGTCATCATCATTATTGTTGAAATTCAATTTTGACCCATTGGCTTTTTAATTTAATTTTATGGGATTTAAAATGTAAAATTAAAATATTAGAGATTTATTTTGATGAAAAATATGATTTATCAGCTTGCACGAAAACTAGGAATTACAATATATTTTTGTCATTCTATTTTTATCTTCAAGATAATGATAGTTATTTACTTTTAAATTAATCAAATTTGATTCTTAATCAAATTCAAATTAAAAAAAAAGAATGAATTTGGTTGAAACTTTTTTTGTCACACACGAAGGGACTCTAACACTATAAATACAGAACTAAGTGTATGCACTAGAGGAGAAAAAAAAAATACTAAAGGAATAATAGCAATTTTCCCAGCAATGAGTGCTTGTATTAATCTTTGCTTAAGAAGTTGGCAACAGAAGTCCAATGACAAGTTAGTCATTTTATCCCCTTTTTTTTCACTTTTAATTACTCTCTTCATGTAGCAAGTGTGCGTGGGTAACACGCGTATGCTTGCAAAGAAAAATATACTAGCCTAGTTACTAGTCTAAACCAGTAACTGAATGGTTTGGCTGGGTCTAGCTCACCTGCATGGCTGGGCTAGATCTAGCCTAAAAAGGAAAAAAAAGAGTGGGCTGGGTTTGGGCTTTATGCCCAGCCTGCCCAAATTATATTTGCTAATGGTGTGCTTGACAAAATATACCCTTATACTTTGACCATAATTTTTATGTCCATTCTA